GCGTTCTAAATTCTACTCTAATAATAACTAAATAAGACTAAGTAATAATAATAAAATAAATAATAAAATAATAACAACAATAATTATACAATATCGGAATAATAATCTAATAAAATAATAAACGGTTCTATAACAGTATGTATAATTATTTTTATTTTTAATGTAATATATGTTTAATAAAAATTAACTTTAATTATAAATAGAATGCCATGTTAAAACAAGACAAGCCAAGTTATAAAAAAAAGTTCATGCCAAAAATTCAACTTCGAAGTAATCTGATTGCTAAATATATTTATAATCAAGATGTTGGTGATCTTTTATATTTAGCAAACAATGCTGCCAATACAAATAATGAGAACTTTTTTTGAACAAAGTTTGTAGAAATAGGTAGAAATGGTAGTTTTAAAGATAAAAAAATATTCGAAGGTTTATGTCATGTAATGGTTTAAATTGCAGATCGTGAAAAATATAAAAAATGGCTTCAAAATTTTAAGTATTCGGATTAATTTTCTGATTTTTTGGTTATACTTGCAAGCCTTAGCCCACAAACATACAACATCTTCTGGCAAAATTTAGCTAGACGTACTATTCAAAATATCAGGTATGAATATAAAAATATGTATTATTTGCTTTTAATTTTTATTTTAATAAAAGTTATATTAACTCTTTTTAAGATTGCATCATATACATTCACCTTATGCACTTTATGATCCTGAGTTATGTTTTGAAAATGTAGCATGAGTTAAAAGGCTTGCAGAAACAATTAAATATACTGGTCCAATTATTGCAATAACTGATAATACAAAAATTAAAGAAAGACTTAGATTTTCTTCTCTTCTTGGTTGCGTTGTTAGATCAATACTTTCAACAGAATTAACTAGAGTTTCTACACATGAAGATATATACCGAATTGTAAATATGATCAAATCCTGTAACGCAATTGCCTCTCAAGTCCGTATTTATCTATTACAGGTAAATATTATACAGTATTTATTAATAGAGGCTATATATATCTAAATATTTATTTATTGTAGATTCCTGTTTCAAAATTTCTGCCTTGCATCATTGCGATGATTGCAAATCAGGGAAAAGAAAATGCAAAAAGTATTTTTGAATTACACAAAAAATTACTTGACATTGCAGTGCAGCTTCAACTTAAAATTCTTGGATTTGGTGCCGATGGCGCCTCAGCAGAGTTCAATGCACAAAATTAACTTATGAAAATAGAAACATCAGAAAGACTAATTTTTGAAGATAAACTTTATGGTATATTAAATATTAAATAGCCCTAATATAATTAATTATTTTAGCTAAAATTATTTTAGATATTAATTTTAGTTGTCCCATTTATCCTAATATTGGTCCTATTATTCGTATTACTGATTCCTTACATGAGAAGAAGGACTGTCGCAATGCACTTTTTTCTGGAGTACGTTTATTATCTCTTGGAAAATATTTGGCACAATATGATCAAATTCTGGAATTAAGAAAAAACCCAGAAAGTGTTTTATATAAAAAGAATGTTGAGAATATTAATCGTCAGGATAATGAGGCTGCTTATCAACTTTTTTGTTCTTCATTTCTCAATCAAGTTATTAATAAAAATAATTATTTTAATACTAGAAAATATAGCCTATTTGTTTTTTTATTTGTCCTTGGTTAGCTACTTTAATAATTTAAAAAATTCAAATAATTTTTATATTATTGGCTAATAACCGATTTTATTATAGAAGAACTAATCAACGCATTTCAAAATTGTGAAATTTCACCACTTGAAAGATGCAAAATGGTCATGTTGGGATACTTTTTTTTAAATTATTGGAAAAATTATGTTCAAGTTTGTACACAGAATTACACTGAATTTATAAGCCTTAGAAAAAATTTCATAGCTTCAGCAACATTTAATATTCTAACAAGTTTTTCTGAATCTATGGTATGTAAATCTGCTTTTATATATCTAATTTATTAATAAACCATTATCACATAATTCTTTATTTTAGATCCTTTTAACAATTGCCTATCAAGATTACTACCCGCAATATCCTTTTACACCATGGATGTATGGTTCGGAAGGATATAAACATTTTTTTGGATTAGCTTGTCAGTTTCTTTCTGACTTTTCATTTAACAACTTAGTTGCATTAACACCCAAGATTACATGTATGTACAAAGCATATTCCTCAGACTCTCTCAGATCAGAAAAAAAAAAACAACTGGTGCTGGTTAGTATATTATAGATTTAATTTATTATCGTTATTTATAAAGTTAAAAACTGATCTTATACTTTTTAGGTTATATTTTACATTATTCTGATTTGAGCGTTGCAAAAAACTTAGAAGTTTTACAGAATTGGCCTTCAGATGATAACATTAAAGTAGCAATCCACTATGCTTACGAACAAGCCACTGCCCTTGCTAAAGATATTCTTGATATGGTGATAAATGCTCAAGTTTGTGGCTTTATAACAGTTTCAAAAGATGAAGAGGTGGATCCTGAAGTAGCAAATAAAATTGATAAACAACTTGATAACTTACAAAGATCTGATAGTTTACAAGAGACTGAAAATATTTGTATATTTGCTGCCGCTGTGGAAGTTAATATGTGGAATAAACTTAATGCTTTAACTGAAGTAAGAATTATCTTTTAAACATTGTGTCATCTATATTGGGATCATTAATTTTATAATAATATAGTTTTTAGTTCTAAATTTTCGTAAGAAACTGTTATATTTTTTATTTAAACAGAATATATATCTTATAAGGGCTTCAGAATTAATGAAAATAGTATATTTTGTGTAATAAGCAGGACTTTAACAGATGAATTAATAAAATAAAAAAAAAAAATTGAAATCAGAATTCTTGTTTTAGTTCTAAAACTCCTTAATACCTTTCATTTTTTTTTAATTACATTTATTTCACTTTTATTTTTCTTAGATCGGAGAAAACGATGGCTTTTCTGATGGGTGTTTGCAATTATCCTTGATACTTGGTTCTTCTCAACTATCACAGAATCTTAATATCGAAATAGATATTGATGTTGACATTGGGGTTGTAAATGAAATACTTGAAATTCCTGTATTAGTCAAACAATATCGTTGCTACGAAGCCTACACTAGCCAAAGAATAAAAAGAAGAGTTGTAGGTTTTTCTATGTCCACCCCAAATAATGGATATAGCAGTCTTATATTGTATCTTTCTTCAAATGAATCTGATTGCCCTGGTATTCCACGCCAAAATCGATGAAAAATAAGAACAAGACTTGAATGATTAAATGATGGATCAAGAAGTTCAGTTAGTAAGTTAATTTTAGTTTATTAATTATGAATCAGAATGTGGTAATCAAAATTTCACTTAAAAAGATGAGGCATATTATTTGTTAATTGAATTGAATAAATAGCAGCTAAGGCTATACAAACTTAATAAACTGGTTTTTATAACCTGGCGGGTCAAATTTCGCAAAATTCTTAAAAAAATTTTTGACTATATTTACTATCCAGGTGAAGTTTTTTAGAAGTTTATAAAAATTTTTATATGTTTTTTATATATGAAAATTTTTTGAAAATAATATTAAAAGCTGGGTTGCCAGGTCATTTTTCAAATTTTATGTTATGAGAACTAAAAAATTAACTTTGTATGGCCTAAAGTAAAAACTATGGAATTATTTTGTCCAATGGATAATTTGACCATGCTGCTATTATTATCTGGATATCGCTAGAGATAAAAAGACAACATTCGAGTGTTATTTAAAATTGGCATAATATGGTAGCTCTCATCAATAATGTAACTTTAAGTTCAGCTATGAAAAGGACATAAATAACAAAAAATAAAAGAAGACATTGAAATTTTAAATTTTCAAATCCGCTGAATGTAGTGATTCTCATGGCAATATAATCTTGAATTCAGTTATGAAAAAGGACAAAAATTACTAAGTATGAAAAGACAATATTACAATAGCACTTTAATTTCACTAAAAATGGTAGTTGCTATAGACAAATAATCTTGGATTCAAAAAAAATATGCACTACTAAAGATAAAAGGAGCACTGGAGCGGTTTTTAAAATCTGCTGAAGGCAATAATCCTTATTGGTGTAATATTTAAAATCTGCTGAATGTGATAATGTTCGTGGACAAAGTATTCCTCAGATTCTGCTATGAAAAAATGTGAGTTACTAATAATAAGAAGGCATTGGAGTGATATTTAAAGTTTGTTGAAAGTAATAATTCGTAAAGATAAAAGAAGGCATCTAGTGGTATTAAAATCTACTGAAGTGGTAATTCTGTTAGGCAATATTGAATTATTAGGATAAATATAAGGCATTATAAGGCATTAAATGGTATTTAAGTCATTCTTGCATGATAAATTCCATTGTTTCTACTTTGACTGCTCAAATACATATAATTGTTTTGATATTTAATTAATTAGCTAAATAATTCTAAACTCCAACTTTGTCTTTACTTTTTATTATAGGATTGGCAGAAATTTCAATGGCGAATGTAAATGCAGTGCACTCAGTTACACGAGGAGAATTTGGAATTAGATGGGTTAATAATACTATTTTTTTCTTTCAAGTTCTTGCGCTTTACTATAAAAACTCAAATTATTATTCCTTTATTAAGTCACATACAAATATCGATGAACTTTTATATATTTCAGTGAAAGTTTTTTTTCAACTTCGTTATAGTTTATTTTCTTCGATTTTAGATTGTGGCTATACAATTTTTACTCATATTCTGCTGTCTTCTTTTATCTACTATCTTGGAGAAGGCAATTTTGCATCATTTGATGAGAAATTGGGTTTATTAACTGTTAATAATCCAACATACGAACTGTTTGATTATTTTAATACTTCTGAAATGAAACTAAAATTACAAGAAATTTTGTAATTTTTTTGCAATTTTATTAATAAATATTTGCAATCTAATAATTTTTGTTTGCTATCGCTATTTTTATATAAG